TCCACACACAAGCTAAGATGTTTTTGTCTGTTTGTTTATTTCTAATTAGCATTTGGTCTTAATAAGTGTGAGCAGTATTTAAAAGAATAATCAGATTTGGCTGAAAAACTTCATGGTGACAGAAGAAAAAGACAGCAACAGAGAAAGTCATACAGCAAGTGGTGAGGCTCACAGCATCCTTCTTGTTGGGATTTCTGTTTGAGGCCGGCATTGTGCACTGTGTAAGTCTGACAATGAGCCTCCAAAGCAAGCAAACATCACATGCACATTGTCTTGGAGAATAAAACTCCTGCAGTGTCTCGCTGTAAAATCAAACTGGATGTCATTGAGAGGAAAATCATCTCCTCAGGGCTAGAATTAACTCAGACAGACAATATGCCCTCGCCGCTGTGTGCACTTCATTTATTGCACTATACAGATTCTCCTACTTACACTGTTCCGACATCCCAACATGCCGTCGACAGCACACGGGGAATGCAACAATTTACTTTGAGGTCTACTTCAATTTATGACAAAGCAGATCACCGGGGACGAGATGTGAAATGTTTAGACAGTGCTGGCTAGTGGGCTTGGATCTGACAGGGCTGAGAAAGTATTGAATTAATGATGCCACATTTTAAAACTCATTTTTTATACACATAAACAGTGTGAAATGATGAAATCCAATTAGAGCAATAAGGGACACTAAGGCAGGATCCAAGAATATTAAGCCATCTGCCAGTGAGTAAAGATTGCTGCAGGGCTGCCTAATTGAATTTTATCCTCTGACTGTAAATCTTATGAGTGACCCAAATCAAAAGAAAGTTTGCCTAAACATGCAATGAAAAACCGACAGCCCTTGCAAAACTGTCATATAATCTTAAGATTATGTGCGGCGGAACAAGGTGGGAATTTGCTCATACACAAAGCCTGCCAGAAAAAGTCTGTAGCAGTAAATGTATCAGGGAGAGGAGTGTAAATCAGCATGATTTCTTTTAATGTTACTCAGAAAGAACAAAGAGATGAGGATGAGGATGATGATGATGATGATGGCAAGCAGCTCTTTCTGACTCTGTGACACACCCAGAGGTGTTACATTTAATTAAAAATGTGAATAAATCTCAATTCAGTGATCAGAACTGAACAAAAAAACAACAAACATCAAACAAACAAGCAACTATAATTTTAAAAAAAAATAGATTCATCATCCAACCACCTGCTTTTCTGGACATTTTATTTATTAAACGATAAATGTGTTGTATTATGTGTTTTTTGGCTCTAGTGTTAGAGGCTGGATGTTGCATCCTGGAGTGTGTAAGCAGGCAGAGTCTTTGTGCAGCCACTGAAATCCCTCTGATGCTTCTTAGAGCAGCCTCAGTCCTATTTACATCAAAACGCCAACACAGTTCACTTCCACTGAAACCTACGAAGCTTCTACAGGTGCATCAGCCTTTTGCACAGGTTTGAACAATCTGCATTAGAGCAAACCCCCCTCCTACCCCATGAAGCTAATTTGCATATAAACGCTTTTGAGATGAGATGCAATTTAATTTATCAGGCAGGCATGGTGGCTCTGGGAGAGTAAAAAACCTTCAAATACAACACCAATTCCAACACTTCATCCCCAGTAAAAGTTGAACCTGAGCATTAAAGCAAATGGGACTTAACATGCATGGATTTATTTTAAAAACAAACCCACAACAACAACAAAAAAAGCTGCATCCTGGCACAGCAGCGCTGGTATAATTCACCTGTGATCCTCGGGAGTCTGTCTGTATCCGTCAGTGCGCTGGGTTGAAACACAGCCTTCGGACTGCTGGACAGCGGAGCCACGACAGCAACAAATGATCAGTAGTGAAGAGATGGAAACTGACGCTCGTTAAGCCAGTCAAATGCACAGTTTCCCCGGAGGATGCTCGCAGGTCATCAGCGTGTCGCGCCTCAACTTTAATCGCCACAGTGAGTGAAAGCGCTCCGTCTCCGGCGATGCGCCGCTGCAAAGTGCCGCGCAGCTACTGATGTCCCTGCTCCACACTGGCACTTTATTTCTCACGGTGACAAAAAAATAAATAATTTAATACATGAAAAGGAGGGAGGGAGGATGGAGGGGGGAGAGTAGCGTTCAGACGTCACGTTCAGCCGAGCCGCCACTAGATGGAGCAATTTTTTAGACATGAGGAACAACAGGCAGTCAATTAGTGAGCCCGGTGGACGTTCACAGGTCGGTTCATGAGGTTCACACACTGCCGTGATTAACGACTTTACTTAATTATCTCGAATTAGGAAGTCGTTTCCGTGACACGGTTTGGTCACCGGGTAATTTGTTGCCGAGTGAGAGACTAAGACTAAAGCACATTTTACACAAGGAGGGAATTAAAATGTAGACACTGTGTAATACCTAGGTGTTGTACATCAAGGAATCAAACAGGGCCACAGCGAGGATTTTATGAGACACTGAGGCCCCCCTTCAGCATTTAATACCCCCACATATAATCCACCAGCTGAAAACTAAATTCTTATTATGTGTGTCACATTCAGCAGGTATGTTGTATGTTTTCATTAGTGTATAATCACCTGAATATAGGAATCAATGTGTTTTCGTTACCTTAGAATGAGACGTTTTTATCTACAGACGCTGCGGGTCGCCTTCCATGGAGTCCGCCATGTTGAACCACCATGTTTCTACAGTAGCCCAGAACGGACAAACCAAACGCTGGCTGTAGGGAGTTTTGCAAGCCCGTTCTCATTCCCAGGTCGTCAAATACAGACGCGAGCAGTGTTCAGTTGGTTGCAATCTGCAACTTGACCGCTAGATGCCACTAAATCTTACACACTGGTCCTTTAACTGTTCAATCATGTTTTATTCACTAAAATTAAGGACTAAATGTTGTCTTTTATCTATTTGTTATTTTGCTGGCATATAGGCCAAATAGTTGCATTTTAAAATACTAGAATTAGCTTATTTGGGGAATCCAACCTGGTGGCAGACATTAAGAATGACTATATGGAAACAGTCTTCTCACTGATGCTCTTGTTTGTTTATGTAGGTCATACACAGGCATCAGTATTACATTTAGGTTGTTTCATAACCAGTTAAAACCCCATGTAGGAAGCCTAAGTACATTGCAGTATTGCTGCTTTTACTTCTTCTACCACTGGTAACAGCTAAAAACCCCAAATTCACATAAAAAATTTGCACAACTGATTAGAAACTTCACTGCTATCTAAGCTTATAGATAATATAAGAATATTATAGAAATGCAATAGATGGTCTCCAGAGTTATTTACTATATCACAAAAACATAATTTAAGAAGATCCAAGTAATATTGTAGATTTATAAAACCATAAACCACAACAAGTTAACCATAAGAATCACTACCGACTGCCACATAAATAAATTTGAAGTATCACAGCAGGTTAAAACATTCATTATTTACTGTACATATAAAGTATTATACTTTATAATAATAACAAAAAGAGTGGCTTATAGAAACAGTGGAAAACTACTGAAGGAGTAGAGTAGAGTAAAATCTACAATTAAGCACCACATACATGGTTTTCTGTCCCTAGAGGAATATTTTTAGAGCATTGCAGTGATTTTTCATCAGGGATTGAGTGACAGCCGTGCCTACCAATTTGCCACAAACTTTCAAGTGGTTATGCACCTAAGATTATTTATTTACTTATTTACCTTCAAATTGCTTTTTTTCCAAAACTGCATGATGGCAGCAAGCCACAAAAATGGGCGCCTCACTCCTGGCTGTGTCAGGTTGAAAAAGGAAATCATTAATATAGCATTAGAAGCTGGCTGTGAACCCATAACTGCCCTGGGCACACATCAGCATACATGCAGCACTATTCTCTGCTGCTACACCTTCCCTGAGGTTCAAATGTCATCCTTCACTGTCATTACATTTCTGCCCCCATTAACTATTGATTATCTCCACTTCAGCATTTCGAGCCCTGCTGTGGAAATGGCCCACATGGCTCGCTACTCATACTCCACGGATCAAGCAGAACAGAAGTGCCCACCTCCTGGTTTTTATACTGAAAAAAAGGGGGGTGGTGAGGGGGGAGTCAGATTCAGGGCTAAGGGTAAAAAGGGACACAGAGCAACAAGGGCCGACTACACTGTACCGTACCAGCCCATTAGCAGTATGCTTGAGCAGACAACTGGAGGTTAAGTTGTTCTTTTTCGGGGACCCGTGAGAATTTTGCCAAACATGTGTTGAATATTTACTGTGAGGGTTAGGCCGAGTTTGTATCTGTTTTTCAGGAGTGTGCAGGTGGAAAAGTTTGTTTGGGCAGTAGCTTTGTGCCCTCTGCTATCCACGAACTACATCCACAATACCATGAACTAGCTAGTGCAGAGTTGTCTTTGTATACCTGCCAAAATCTCTAATCGTCCGTGTGTTGCAAACACTTAATGGCCGTTACTGCTCTCTATTGTTTTCTATATTTCAGCATCACTGCTGTTTAATGTTTTACATGTGCAGGCGCATTGTCTTTGGAGAAAAATATCTGTTTGTGAGTCAGACTTTTGTGTCTGGTCTTTGTTTTTTTTTTGTTGACAGGAAACAAGAAATATAACCTTATGTGTAAGTTCACCTATACTGTATATGAAGGATTTGCATCAATAAAATGTGAAAATTAGACAAATACCACATTATATAACTACAGGTGTTCAAATTCCTCATCCATTATGTGTAAACAAAGTCTAACAAATGTTTTGTTTATGCAAAATTGGCACCAAGGAGATTTTTCTCTGAGACATGATGTTTTAAACAAAATAGCTTCAATGCTTTAAGTTATTAACTATAATTCCGGTTGAGTGGAAATAGTGTTATTCCTTTTTTATATACAATTAAAGCTCAAAGCCACTTAGGAGTAAACAATGAATAAATCCTCAGAGTTAACATTTGTATTTAGGGGTCAGAGTAATCAACAAAAGTGTAAAATATTTCCTACACCAGCAGAATTATAACAAAACAACCAATCTGTATTCATAAAAAGTCCCATTTATTTCAAAGTCATTTCATCAACAAATATTACAAATCTGCATTGTTTGGGGGTAGACCCACACCAGAAACACATGAATAAAACATTTATTACAATAATTGCTCAGGGTCCATTGCAGACACTGAAAGTTGGAGCATTTATTTAGGTTGTAGAATGAACAAGAAACAAGCTACCATACAGAAACAATAAATGAGTTAGTTAGGCCATTCCCGCCTTACAGGATTACTGTGTAGAGTGAAATCCACTAGGATCCAATGTGGCTTTAGGATAATCCCATCAGAACTGCTACAGTGCAATGCAACTACAGGACACCCAAGCCTGTTAGCACTGATGAGAGCCTATAGTAGAGTGGAGCAATCCTTGTTAAAAAATACTTAACACACTGACTTCTATTGTACAAGACAAACATTATAACAGCCTGCTGCCAACAAAGCACCACTTCTTATGATACTAGTTTGCATTATCTAACAAAAACTGTAAACTAGTTACACAGATAGAAAACTAATTCAATATTTGCATCATGGAAAATACCTCTCCTCCTTAATATAAAGCTCTGTAACATGAATCCGTCGGAAAAATATCTTTTCTAGGATACTAATACAAGCCTGAGTTACCCACAATAATTGTTATGCATGTCCTTAAGATAATACTGAGTTGATATGCACCTCTGCTGCCTGTTGTAATTAATGAGGGCATGTTTTGTTACCTCCATCCTTTCAGTCTGTTTCTAATAGTCTCCTGATTTATGGATAACAAGTGCTACACGGGCAAAACTTACACACACTGGTGTAAGCTATTTTTCCGCCCATATGCCCGAATTTCTTTATTTAATAATTTCTCATCATTTAATAATGTCTTACCAGTCAGCTACACTGACTAGACTTGAAAAGCAGACATCAATAAGGAGCAAACTTCTGCCGTTCAGATTTTTTGATGCCGGAGTTTGGCATTTTTGTGGTGTAAGGGGATAAACCCTGTGCTAGGCTGGAAGCGGCTGCTGGGTGGACAGCCAGGAGGGGAAGACTTTTCATGCCAAGCAGACTGGAAATGGGGATGGCGTAGTGTGGGTTTTGGATGTTTGGTAAAGTGGACGGAGAGTGGACGTTAATGGTGGTGGGGGCTGGGGAGGTGGCCGCCAGGACGGCCATAGAGGTAGCAGCTGTGGAGGCAGTGGGAGCGGACTGAGAGAAGCTCATGTTGAGGTCAACTGGGGTCGCAGAGGAAGCGGCCTGCATGGTGTATTTAGCCATCTCTAAGCTGCAGGTCGTGAGGTTTGGAAAGGGGGGAGTTGAGATGGTGATGGGTTAAGAGGAGACGGTAAGAAATGAAAAGGGGGGAGAATGGGTGAGAAAAGGAGAAGGGGGTGAGAGAGAGGAGAAAACATAAGTAGGAATGTGTTAAAAAGCAGAGACAATAAGGATTTTAATGCAGTCAAGAGAACGGAGCAGTGAGATGGAACAAATCCAGCCTCACCCTGAGTACAGTAACTCTGCCCTCATACAATAGCATGGTGTTTGGCTGTCTTATCGCCAGGCTGTGATGTGAAGCCCTGCTGGACGTGGTCGCCCTGTGTAATGTCTTACCTGGCGTTGATGAGGTACTGGGCCACGCTGATGCTGGCCGGCGAGCCTGTGATCGTGACTTGGCGCATAGCTGAGCCATCAGTGGCGCTGGCAATTTTGATGTGAGCTCCAGAGACCTGGCGAATCTCATTGATCTTGCTGCCTTGTCTTCCAATTATGCAGCCAATAAACTATAAGGGGAGAAAGTGGAAACATGTAAATAGCTAATCAGCTCATGTTTCATTGCTTTTAATACACCACGCTGTAATTGTAAGATCTCCTGAAATGTTGACGATACCGCACATGTTGTCAGTAGAGCACAGGCTTCGCTACTCTTTAATTTTAATAGTTTGACATCTTGGAAGATAAATTTATCAGTATCCCTCTGTCTGTACAATAAATATGAGCTACAACGAGCAGCTTGTTAGCTTAGCTTAGCACAAAGACTAGAAACAAGGAGAAACAGCTAGCCTGGCTACCTCTAAATCTCACGTATTAACATGTTTTATATTCCTTGTTTAATCTGTGCAAAAAATAAAGTGTACAAATGACTATTTGAGTCTCAGCTTGTTGCTTGGCAATCTCAGCAAGACTCCAGGAGGTCACTGCTCCCACCAAAGAAATAGTCCGACACACAATCCTCTGCAAAACCACAACCTGTCAGTTTTATGCTTCGTTCTTTGTACAGATTAAATAACCGTATTTAGTTTTAGTTTCCCTGTTTCCAGACATGAGAGAAGTATCAATCTTCTCATCTTGCTCTCTGCAAGAAGTTGAATAAATATTCAAGCTACAACAAGCTAATACAATACTACTACACTGATGAGTTTGGTGTATTTATGCAATAATTGATGTAAGCCACAAATAAATTACTTTCTGCAGCTAAGAAGGTAAAAAATGCATTTGTCCAAAATCTCCTCATTATAGCTGTCCTCCTGGAAAGTGTTAATGAAGTAAGTAGCAGGAGGATTAAAACGGTGCTGGAAGAACGCAAACAATGTGACACTTACATCATTAGGTATTGCCAGCTCTTGTGAACTTGTGGGGGCAGATGCATCCAATCCTGCAAAGTAGGACAAGGAATGCTAACAACAGTATGGCACTAATGGCTTCCACTTTCATGGCATGACAAGTTGCCCTACTTTGTCTAGTTTATCACTGTTACACAGCTGAATTAGGACATGAAAATGGCATATGGCGAGAAAATCTTTCTAGATAGACACATTTCTTTGTTTAAACATATTCAGCACACATTCTATGCACATAATTAGGCTACATTTTCATTTAAATGAGCTATCACATCAGTCCTGGCTATACAGTAAAAGTGTTGTAATGTTTTGTCCTAAGTTAGTTTTGGCAGAGTATATGAGTACGTGGGGTGGTTGAGGTCAGGGATGGTCTGGCCAAGACAATGTTAGATTTGGAGGAGAAATGTTGCAGAGGTGGAGGATGGGGTCGAGAGATTAGGATTTAGGAAATTGGGCAAATGGAGCTGAAATGGTGAGAAATGGTTAAATATTTACTAAACTGTAAATATCTGTCATTTTTCACATTTCCCTCAGAGAACTCTGCTGTTTTTCTTTTGTATTTCATTCTGTCTGATTCAATATGTTGCATACTCTTTTGGTATATGAATATTTCAGTGACTAACTTTGAAGATTGTTGATAATTAACTAGTTTGGTGGCTTAATATTAATAACTTCACTCTTCTATTCTATGTTCTTTTGTTTTCATCTTATTTTCTTGTACAAATGCAAAAACCTAACAACTGTTACATCTCTGTAAAGCCACCTAGAACTAAAAAAAACCTGTGAGAGAGTCTGTAAACTCTGAGAGAATGAAGACATCCTTGATCCTCTCTGAAGTGACAGGGGTGTTTTGATGGTGTGATTCGAAGAGGAGTGAAGACAGAGGGATAGATGGACTTCCCCGGGGAGCCGTGGGTACGTACCAGGGAAGGTAGGGTTGCTCTGCCCAAGGGAAGGGAGGGGGATATGCTGCATAGCCAACTGGTGAAGCTTGGTCAACTGCAGGGTAGGAAGGAAGTTAGAGCTAACCAATCAAACTGGATTATTTCAGAGGAGCTGACAGCTACAATACAGAGCCAATCTGAAGTTCACAAACATCACAGATGGTGTCAGTGTGAAAAGATTCATTTCCTTCAGAAAGCATGCTGGCTTCTCATGGCAATTCATCTGAAAACACAGTCACATCTCTGGCTACAAAGCTATAACTGATCATTAACTCTTAAGATCTTCACTTTCATTTCAATCAATGCATGCTGCTACTATTTGTTAGTGTTAGTAATTTCAACAGATCAGGGTTATAGAAGTTTCATCTTTGCAGAGTAGGGCACACAGAGGGCGTAGTGGTGGCTTGGAAGGAGTGGGCAGGAGTAGGTCATTAGGGCAGATGTCAGTCAATCAAATGAGCATACTTACATCTTGGTGTGCAAAAGCATACTGCCCTGGAATTGCAAAGGCCTGAAAGGAATAAGAGGAGAGACGTGGTTGAGAGTGACTGAGAGTTGCAGACATGCTCTAACATGTGAAACTGAAAACTGAATTTGTCACAGTGCAAAAAGAGTAAAGAGTGCAGTGAGTGCAATTCTAAAAAAAAAAAAAAAATCCATTCCTTTCCTCGTTTTCCATAACTCTAATGTGTATAGATTTGATGGAATTTCATCTAAATGTCATCTGCTGTTTTTCCCCCTCTTTGACCATGGCCAGAAATCCAATAACATAAACAGATGTCTGATAGGTCAGAACAGACTGTGCCAAATTCAGGACAGCGACTAGCCAGCTCATGGAAAACATGAGCTTTGGTCACGACATCTTTCTGGGTTCACACTGCAGGGGAATTATTAATGTAAATGTCCTCTATTCATATCTCTGACACATTACAGCTCGGCTAAATACGTTCTAATATGATCATTACCCCATCTTACTGCTTACAGCATTACAATATGAGGAGCTTATTGCTGTATAATTACACAGATGTGTCCCTCTAGTGGTGAAAATAGGCTTAATGATCAGTGTGACTGAGATCCCACAAAATAAGGAACCTATTCAATTGTTATTTTTTTGCAAAGTGGCTACAATCACAGCTAAATAACTCCCATTTGGCTACTTACCTGTGCAGAGTGCTGTGGCGCTAATACTGCATGGGCTCCAGCAGGTATGGCCTTAGGACGGTAGGGAATAGTCGCTCCTTTTGGTGGAGACTGGAGACACAGTCATGCAAACCAAAAAGTGAGAACAATTTATATGCTGCTGCAGCTGAGAAAAGAACTCTTACTAGCGCTGATGCATTTTATATCCCTTTTTATATCACTCCCTGAATCTTTTTATATCCCATTCATCGGTTGAAAAAGTTACATGAATCCTTGGACCAAAGAAACCTCTGATACAACTGTGAATAAACCTTGAAACCAGGGAACTGGGTAGGGTTTTGTACAATATAAAAAGATGAAGTGGGTGATACACTTAAACCTATTCTCATTCTTCTTCTATTTTCAAGCTTATATAAATAAGAATCTCAAAAGTTATACTATAACTTTATTATAACTACAGTTATAAAAGAGGAGGGGTGCCTTACTGTTATAGGAGGCATGTGGAGAGCTCAACTAATTAACTCAACTTTCTTTAGTTAACACAAAGTTGCTGCCTAGCAGGGTGCAAAATTACCTTTTTGTCCACCAGCCAAATAGTTAGTGAATGTTCAAACTTTACCGGCCACTCAATAGATTATCATTGTTTTATTGGCTGGTAAGTGAAGCAAATCTATACCAGCCACTTTATATTTTTACCAGCATGTGGCTGGTGTCTGGTGCAGGGGCATTTCCAGACTTTTCTTTGACTGTGTCAGGCATAAAAGGTTGGAAGCTACAGATATAAATCACCAGAAAAAGTAATAATATATATAACACCACAGCAAATAGTGCCCTTACTGTTGCACATCTCTTGAGGATTAAGCAACCATTACAAACTGAACACAAGGCTTTAGCTCTGCAGTGGTAAAATGCCACTGAGACTGAAAATAATGTGCTACTGAATACCTTTTACCACATCCTAAACAAATGTGACATACTTGACGCCCAAATAGAGTTGTTGAATGTGAAGATCATCTGCTGTCTGACAGTGCTTACCTCCAGCATGACAGAGCAGATGTGTCTTACACACTGAGTGATGGCCTGTGGAGTGCCGGAGATTGTGACAGCCCTCTCCGTAGAGTCCGGCAGCATGTCTCCTGCCACCTGAACCTGAGCGCCTGTGGTCTTAACATCACCAGACAACAGAAGACACAAAGGCTATTTATTGCTGAAAAGAGCCCACCATCACCCAAATTGAAATGCTGTTTCAAGCACCCGCAAATTACCCCGAACACATTTTGACATGCAGGGAGCAGCTGCAAGCCAAATAGCAATGTGTGCTCCAATATTTGAAGAGGCGTACACAAACATTGTCCATTCAGAATGAGTATTCAGCCTCTGTCGATCTTTACAGGGATAATCAGTGGGATTTTCATGAGAAGAAGCCAAAAAATACACACATTTTAAAGCAGGGAAGAAAACAAGAAAAGTTTGACTGGAGTGTTTGATACTTGAGGTGTCAGAGCACCAGGGAGGATGTTTTCTGTCCCCATTTGGGTGCAAAAAATAAAAAACAACTTCCTCATAGAGAATGAAAAAGGAAACGACTCTTACCTCTCTGATCTCTTTGATCTTGGAGCCTCCTTTGCCAATCAGTGAGCCACACTGGCTCCCCGGGAAAACCAGGCGAAGTGTCACAGGTGGCTTGCTTGTCACGTTGCTGTTTGTCATTGCCGCGGTAATATCCTGAGGGAGAATTCAAAAATATGTTTTTCAGCATTGACTGTGAGAACGCTGGCTTTACTTGACAAGTTTCTTTTTTTTCCCAGACTTGAGGAAAGGTGCATTCAGTGTCCTTCAGACTTCAGACAAAGAATTTCTTACTTTTTTGTGTAAAACAACAGAATTTTATTGACGATTTGCATTGCAGTTTGGTGCGTATTTGTTTTGCTGTACCTCCTCAAACTTCTGTGCGATCATGGAGAAAGCTCTGAAGATGCCCTCTGTGGGTCCTGTGATGGTAACTATTCTCTCAGGAGATGATCCCTCTGATATGTTGATACGTGCGCCACTCTGGAAACACAAATCCACAATTATTCCGGCCTCAAATTCTTGTAATTGATCTGCCAGAACACATCATTTAAACTTGTTTTCATATTATTACGGATGTCAAAGTGAACACTAACCTCCTCCCTCATTTTCTTTACAGTTTCTCCTTTCTGCAATCACGTAGGACAATACAAAACAGAGGGTTTGATTATTTTTACAAAGAGAAGAAAACAAGACAATCAGAAAGAAAGCAGTAGGAATCAATAAATGCTGAAGGATTGTAAAATCAATCTACCTTCCCAATTATGCTGCCAACTTCCTGTGAATGAAAAGATAACAATACTTGAGCAAGTGGCAACACACAAGATCGTCTCTTAAGAGCTTTTCACATTTAGAGGAGGATGTAATCATTTTAACAGCAATGACACGCTATTACCAGACCATTAGGCTATTGCTACAAAAAGGCGCTAAATTATTTTAACTATCTGAATATGTCTGTTACCTTTCCATGCATCAGGAGCCTCAGCGTCAGTGTAACATTCAGACTCCCATCTGAAGCCATTTCTTCCTTGTCAGACATGCTGTGCTTTCTAGGCTTTAAAGTAAACACTCTGTGAAAAGAAAAGCAATTGTTTAAGACAGTTCCTGTGTATAAAAAGAGCTCTGGTATTTCAGGTGGCTCAGTAGACTTATCTGGTTTTTTTTCTGTATTTTCTAAAACAACTGTTATTACAAAGTCAAAATGTGTGGAGAGGATTGTACTTGAATTTCATTTCCAGCCTTTTTCTCTGTTTGTTAAGCCATTGTGGTTATCAGTTCACGCTAACTACTATGTTCTTCTATTTATTACATTCAAACTGCCGCAGCTGCAGGAAATGTGTAATGCATCATTTCCTGTGCACAACCAGATTTTCCTAGGAAAGCGCTACCAGACACAGCAAATGTAAAAGCTTTAATTTCAACTGGCTGCAAGCTGCATTGTCATTGTTAAATCAGTGTGCAGCAGAGATACAACAGAGCTCTATTTGAACATGTTATGGATTATTACCTCAACTATGGGGAATGTAAAGTAATCGGAAAAAGCTCCAGAGTTGGAACAAACTTTTTATGCTGCTAAAAGGAGCCAAATTCCCTTATTTCTTTAAATTATCAGAGCGCTGACGCTCTCTGAAGAGTTGTGGACCTTTGTTGTTTGTCTTCTGATCGTGTAGTTGTGAGCGGGGGGAGATAAGCCTATCACTAGGTGCAATCTTCACATGTGACTGTGTCTTTAGTTCCGGCTAAATACAAGTTGTGTGACTCCCTTGGATAAGATAAGATACAAAGGAAGCCACTTGTGCTTTGGAGGATCAAGTGATGTGCGTGTGACTGTCTCTTAATATCACACGAACACCGCACAATGTTGGCTTTGTTGTGGCCTCGAATCCAATCGTTGTATTTGCAGATCAAATGAAGAATGTCTTGATGCAGTGAAGGAAGGGCAGCTTATTGCACCACGACAGACAGAGAGAAGAGTTTTAGTCTATGAAGCCCCATGGTCACCTTGTTTGTGAGATCATTGTGCTTTTATCATTTATTGGGCTGACAAAGAGACATTACACACAGAGAACTGCCTCAGATGAAGAATTTGTAACTAAAAAGCAAAATAATATAAATGAAAACAGGTAAGTATTGGATTTTGGACTGACCCAGTAAGCACTCATGTGTGAAACTTCACCTAAACCCTGTTGGCTTTATGCAAATGGTAGATTTACTTAGGCGGAGGGAACATGGCGGCACGGTGAGTAAAGGTGTTCCCAGTTAATCCAGAGTTCAATTCAATCCTACTCTGAGGTTTTACCAATGTGCAAGCAATAACATATTGGTGGTTCGACGCTTATTTGTTTTCTCGGCAAGAGTTAGATGAGAAGATGGATACCACTCTCATGTCTGCCCGGTAAATATGATACTATAGCCAGCAGCCGGTTAGCTTAGCCTTGCACAGACTGGAAACAGGGGTTAAAATCCAGCCTGGCTCTGTCCAAAGCTATCAATAAATAATTTGCTTAATCTGTACAAAAACCAATGTGTGAAAACAATTATTCCGAGTTATTTTGTGGCTCTGACCAGCGAGTCTCCAGGAAGTTACTATTCTCAGCCAAGATATGGAACATCCCTAAATCAATTAAATGTCAAATTTACTTTCCTGATTTATCAAAATTGAGATATAATCTGTTAATTAATGAGCTTTAAAAGGTCTGGTAGGTGGATTTTGTTACCTAAGAACAGAGCCAAGCTAGCTGTTTCCCCCTGTCTCCAGTCTTTATGCTAAGCTAAGCTAACCGACGGGCAGCTGCTTATATACTCACACAAATCAATAAATACAGAATTCTCTGCCGCCATTGATGGGTTTGAGTGCTCATACTGATGACAGCACAAGTGCCAGAAGTTATCGGATAAAATGTGCCAATATCACCATGACAACAAGCAAATAAAACATGTTATCTAGGAGCTGAGAGAAGTTTACAATAAGATATTGTTCTGGCACATGCCAGTGTTAATAATACCAGACTGAGTTCAAGGACTTAATCTAAACGCTATCATGAGTTAAGTGGACGGTGTGTTACAGCCAACAAGACCCAACTATTCTCTCCTCTGTGTATCATTATGAAGTTACAGTGAATACATCAAATAAACAGCAACATCTCTCTCTAATCCTATAGGCCGGGATTTGTTTAGTTAATGCTAAGACCCTTTTGACCCATTTCTGTCACCTCCAGCACATCAGCGCCCACTCAAGACTTCCGAACAAAACACTGGTGCACAACAGCACCCACAGTGTATACACGATAAAACAGATAATCTAAAGGAACCCAGCTCCCAGAGCACTGACAGGCAGCAGTGTGCTTCAGACAATCAAAAAAAACAACAGGGCATTAATCCTTGAGGGAAATGGAGAACAATGTCTAAGTGGATTACTTGAAGGGTTTCAATAGAAAATATATAGCAAATTTTAGCCTAAAACAAAGCAAATTTTAACATTTTGACAATTGTAATGAAAAGATTATTGTATTTTACAAGATTATTGCAAACAATAGAGCTCCAGTTTAGAGAACAATGCTACTAAATAGACACAATGCTCCTTATATTTTGAAATAATATGTGTTAAATCATTTATATTTATCATAATGCAAGATTTCTACCTACCCATCACTAATCACCTCCTGATTATCTAAAGTAACTTTCTAATTATAACCACCACATCTCAGACTATAAGCATAGGGCCATACTGCATGGCATTCCTCCCTCGTGATAATTCATTGTCACCCAAACTATCTCTGAAGAGCAACAAAATGCATTTACAACACAGCAGAGTGCAGAGTGCACAAATTAACCCAGTCGAATGAGAGTCAGGAGTAGTGCATTAAAACAAAGGCACACATTGTTTAGCTCTCTTTAACCAAAAAAGAAAGGCTGAATTTAAAGTTAAACTTCAACTTTCTGTCTACACTACTGTAGTCTGCAACGTTGTCAGCAGTAGAAACTGAACAGTCTGACCCTTGCAGTCTTGGCTCAGTGAGAGGCCTATAATGCAATAAGGATGATTAGAAGTACTGACCTTATATACAAAACACTCACTCCTCTTCTTTATTTCTGGTATCTCCTAAATGAACGGCCTTTTAGTTTGTAGTCCGTGTTCAATGTTTGCCCCTTTTGTTGTCAGTTATCCACAGAGTGGACAGATGGTTCCCTGTGCCCTCAGACCGGCTGGAGCGGAGGCTGGCTTTGCTATTAGTCCCTCAGCTTAGCCCAAGATAAGCCCCTACGCAGGGCAAGTGAACCCGCATCTCTTGCCTAATTCTCCCTGTCACAGCCACCAAAGAGGCGTTCCTCCGCACGGAGATCCACAAGCCGAAGGGGCCTGAGGGCAGGGCAAAGAGGCTCTTAGGCTGGACACTGTCCAGCACAGATAGAACGGGCTACAGTTACAGCAACCACAACAACAAAATCAGGAAGGTCTAGCCTTTTGCAGTCATCAGAAAGACACACGGAGACACTGAAGAGAAGCTTTGTTAACCAATGTTGCCCTGAGCCTAACAACTCTGCATGACTGCTGTGTTCTTCATTAGATTTTCAGAGAGCTTCCTGTCTGCACAGGGCCGGATTTTCTCTAAAAATAAATCTCCCTGTATGAAATCGGTGCTTTGCAGAGAGAACCTGACTAATTGAGGGCTGGGAAGGACAATGTGGTGTTTGAGGTGTTTAGTGATGTTAAGCACAATGTCTTCGTGGGGTGCTTCTCCCCCCTCACTGCCTCTGCCCTCCCCCACACCAAGCCCTTCTGCCCTCGTAATGAGGCCATACTGGATACAATACAGCCCTTCTGCACAGAGAAAAATGTATTCAGCTGAGCTTCAAAATTGTGAAGGAAATGAATCAGTGAAGCATAAGTGGCATATTTAATTACTATTCACTGCGTTGCACGGGGACAATGATGGCTGCTGTGAGCCACATGGCCGTCTATCAGACATCTACTCACTTTTCAACTAGGATTTCAATGCAACTTCCAAGTTGCATTTCTATGATTAAAAGGATTGAATGCCCTCAAGATAATCCTTTAAAGTGAAGGAAAAGTCCTGAAAAGTACAGTAAAACTAGTGTAGCTCAGTGGCTTTTTGTTTCCAAACTGCAAACAGAATCAGAACCATACCAAAGCTATCGAGGCTGTCAAGGGCAAGGCGTCTGACAAAGTGTGTGACAGTTATTTCTATCCTTTCAAAGACCGTGAGATGATCAGGCATTTCATGCCAATCACTTGTGACTAATTTGCACTCCTTCATGTACCGTGTGTGTCAATGAGATTAAAGAGTCTGGGATTATATGTAATGGGATTACTGTGAAGCGATTACCGAGACTTGTTGGTGTAATCAGTTACTGAAAGCAGAGTAGATTTCAAATTAGGAATAGCCTGAAAAAATTAAACGAAAAGGGGGTCACTCATTTTACCTCAGCTGAAAGTACAACTAAAGGATGAATATGATAAACACATGGTCCTTTCATCATTATCTGTCCTTAGCTTTAATTACGCTCTGCTGGTCTAGCAGCCTCACATAAAGTAATCATTACTCTGGAATAATGTGAACTAATCAATGTTTTCTAACAGGATTGTGAATGCCAACTGCTTTTAAATAATTTACTCCTTCATGTGCAGCGTGTTTCATTGAGGATAAGAGGATTTTATGTAATTATGTCACAGTGAAGTGATTACTGACACTTGCTGGTGTAATCTGTTACAGCTACAAAAAGGAGGGTAGATTTTGAAATTTGATGAAAAAACGAGGGTAAAGGGTTTGCTGCAATAGTTCCACCATGAATAAATGTCTCGAAAGGATGCTTCTTTCATCAATATCTGAGCTTAACTTTAATGTCTGTCAGGCACTTCACAGGATTTCAATATAATTTCCATGTTGATCTATTATTAAGAAAATGTCCCTGTGGGAACTGAGAAATGAAGGCAGTTCTTTAAAGTTGATGATATTTGCGTTTTAATACTTTTTAAAAGACTTTTTCAGGTATGGGACTTGGGTTCAGGAGGAGAGATTAAACTATGAAGATCAATAAAAGTTGTAGGATATTGTTGGTATAATTGAAAGCAGTGTAGAGGTTTAAATTTATTCCCTGGAAAACTGAGGAGGATAAGATGAGGATAAATAATAAAACTTGTCATGTCTCCATCTTCTGCTGGGCAATAATACATGTTTTCTGGTCTAGGCTAGTGTATGTGTGCATGTGTCTCTCATCAATATCCAAAGTATTAACTCACATATATTACACATACAATTTCAACATCTCTTTCCCACCAGGTCCTTTTGTCGTAAGATATCCCAAAATATGGAATATGCAGATATATCACTGGTTGTTGGGCACAGGGCTTATAGACATGCAAATGTGGAGAGATGTTGGAGTGACGGGCTGCCATGTAGCGACGCTCCGGGAGTAGTTAGGGGTTAGAACAACATAAAGTATGTGAATGAATAAAATATGAAATTTGTTCTATGTGTATTGATTATATTGTCTTTATGTTTTAGATTAAATAAAGACGTTGATGATGAATGAATCATTTTCATAACTTAGTTTTTGCTTTAAATCCTGCAGCATCCTTTATCTAACTATCTATAACATATTAGATTGTGTATGATTCTATATCTCTATTCTAGTAATGCACAGCTATATGTCCATACACCTAAAATTACAATATATCCCAAAATACATGTTTTTATGTTGAATATAGACATATATCGCACAGTAGATCCACACATATATAGATATAAATGTGTGTTGATATAGGAGTATAGCTATAGCTGTTAAATACCTGTATACAAACATATTTATATGAATATGTGTCCATATACATATTTTCAGTGCTGGGCAGTAACACATTACTAGTAATAATATTACTTTCCCCAGTAACTAGTAGTGTAACTAATTACTAATAAATTCCAGTAATAATTACAGTTACCCCCCCAAAATAATAATATATATAATAATTAGTTACAACACTATCCCAACTCTGTAGGGCCATATATGAATATTTTACATGTGAAACAATAATTTATCCTAATTACATTGTAACTTTACTCTTCCTCTCTCTCTCTGTTTTTGTGCCATGTCAGTTTGATATAAACTATGAAGGTTAAAAGTTGTGAGGGGGGGCGGAGATAGTAAAAATCACATGATTACAGAGCAGTTATTACAACTAGTGACCAAACCGTGTGGGAGTTGGGGACTTCTCATATGTCAACATGGCCACAGCAGTAAACAGTCTCCAGCTATAAAGGCTCAGCTGCTGCTCGCGGACTTCAGACCCTGAAAACATCAAGTCATTGAGCATAAAAGCAGTTGTGTGCTCGGCGGTGTGTCTCCGGCTGTACTGTCTGTCTCTCCGGCTGTACTGTCTGTCTCTCGATCGATGGATTTCCAAACGCTGTGCACTTTTAAAAGTTTCGAGCAGGTCTGGAGTCGGTACGGTTATGGGGAGGACTTTCAAGGCGTGATTGAGCGCGAGTTCCCACGGATTAAAGGTAACGATTGAGTTCAGTCATGAGTGGCAGGGACAGGGAAGTTGGAAGCAGGGGCGGATCTAGAGAAATGTTCATAGGGTGGCCATAAGGTGGCATTAAAAGGCCCAGTGGGGAGCTATTGGCAGAAATGGATATCAATGGATAAGGAATCATTATGTTTTCCTTCAGTTAGAGTGAGATGTTTTTATCTACAGATGCTGCAGGCAGGGGCGTTTCCAGATGTTTTTGAGTAGGGTGGCACAAGTGACTTCTGCAGGGGTGACATGAAGTATGTGTCACAGCTTTCCATCATTCCCACTTTATGTGATTCAGATACTGTTCAGGGACCCTAGTATGCAGAAATATTCAAATAGACTAGGCGAAAATAAAACTTTTATACCATATGCAAAAAAAAATAAAAAATGCATGGTTTATGCATGAGATTAGCTTAAAGTGGGAATGTCTGCAAAGGGGAAACTTGTGTGTTAGTACTGAACCCCTTTTCATTCAGATATCTAGGTCAAGGGATCTCTTTGATAATGGCCATGCCTGTTTTTCCAGTTCTTAAATCTTGCCTAACTTTGGAGTGTCATTTATCCTCTTCCCGACATGCTAGCATGACATGGTTGGTACCACTGGATGCGTTACAGCATCTAGTTCTATATGATACCTTACAGTTGATACCTGTTACAGCCTCTGAAAGACAGTGCAGAGTGCAAGAGGTAAGGATAAGCCCCCACTTTGGAAACGCCCCTGGCCCTCCATGGAGTCTGCCAGTAGCCTAGAACGAACAAACCAAACACTGGCTGTAGATAGAGTTTCAGGGCCACCGTAGTTTCTCCGACACACTTCACAGGCTGTTCTCATTCCCAGGTTGTCAAATACAGACTCGAGCAGTGTTCAGTTAGTTGAAATCTGAAACTAGATGCCACTCAATCCTAAACGGCGGTCCTTTAAGGTGTGGCACTAATATATAATATCCTGATTTAACTGCAAATAATCACATATATCAGTATTTGCATGGAAAAGACCACAAATTAATATACTTGAACTCATAAACATTACATTATTGTGGCCCATTAGTAAAGCACTGAATAGAAAGTGTTAATTTCCATTTTTTTTAACATGTTATTAATAAAATTAATAAAAATTAAAATTGACACCAAACTGGTCAGACGTGTTTTAGGTCCGCCCCTGGTTGCTGCAGTAAGCTGACCTTACATGGCTGTTCTTTCATTGTAAACAGGGATAACATATCTGGATCATGCAGCAACTACTCTGTACCCTGAGTCTCTGATCAGGGACTACTTCCAGGACATTTCAAGGAACGTATACGGTGAGAGAAATCACATAAAAATATTATTTTTTTATTCACTCATAAAATTCAATGCGTTTAAGTACCGTTATATGTCCCAACAGGAAACCCTCACAGCCATAACCCCAGCAGCAGATTGACACATGACACAGTGGAGAGGGTCAGATACAGGTAAAGTCTATTCATGCCCTCAGAGGCCTTTATAATTGGCACATGTGACTCCTTTGAATGGGACTTTGCTGGATCAAATGAGTGAAAAAACAGAACATTTTCTTACAGGGTATTGCAGCATTTTAACGCCACCCCTGAGGAGTACTCTGTGATTTTCACTTCTGGTTGTACAGCCGCTCTCAAATTAGTGGCTGAGAGCTTTCCCTGGAGCCCGCAGACTGAGAGCGAAGTGGGGAGTCACTTCTGCTACCTCACTGACAGCCATACCTCTGTAGTTGGCATCAGAGGACTGACTTCTGGCCAGGGTGTAGTTACCCTGCCTGTCTCGCCGCAGGAAGTGGAAAACAGGGCAAAGGCTGAGACTGAAGGTGACGATGTTGTTTGCCAGACGCCGCACCTCTTCTGCTACCCAGCACAGAGCAACTTCTCTGGAAGGAAGTATCCCCTTAGCCATGTGAAAGGCATCCAGGCAAGACGCCTTTACCCAGCATGTGACCACCAAGGCCGCTGGTTTGTGCTGCTTGATGCTGCCGCTCATGTCAGCTGCTCCCCTCTAAACCTACAGGAGTGCCCTGCTGATTTCATTCCCATCTCTTTCTACAAGATGTTTGGCTTCCCTACAGGTCTGGGGGCTCTTCTTGTCCGTAACGACGCAGCATGCATACTAAAAAAGACTTATTTTGGAGGAGGCACAGCAGCAGCTTACCTTTCTGGAGAAGATTATTATGTGCATGCGGCAAACATTTCTGACAGGTATAGTACTGTACAAGCCTGCCAAATCCCAGATATTCTCTGAAAGCTCACAGTTGTTGTACAGCTCCTGCATCCTTATTCTAAAATGCAATATTTTCCTTCTCCCTGATAAAGATTTGAAGATGGCACTGTCTCTTTTTTGGACATCATTGCGGTAAATCACGGTTTTGAAGCTCTTTACAGGATCACAGGTACTGTAACAATGAATATGCAAGTTGTTCAGAATGATACAGGTTAACATCAGCAGCATTCTTGTCTTCTTCCCTTTTTGTGTCTTCAGGGGGCATGCACAACATCCAACAGCACACGTTTGGCTTGGCACGCTACACTTACATGCTGCTGTCAAGTGTTTGCCATGGCAACGGGCGACCAGTGGCTAAGATATACACTGAAGGCCAGTTTGAGAGTCCAAGCACACAGGGCGCTGTCCTAAACTTCAACCTCAAGGATTCTCATGGACAGATAATTGGGTATTCTCAGGTGCATTCAATAAATATGATTTATTTCCATTTCACTGTTTAATTACTGCGTAGACAGAGCTGGTAAATATTAAAACGATTCCTCTTTTGTCCTCAGGTTGACAGAATGGCCAGTCTGTACAATATACACGTGCGCACGGGTTGCTTCTGTAACACCGGGGCCTGTCAGTCCTTCCTCGGGATCACCAATCAGCAGATGAGGAGAAACTTGCAGGTAAGAGATCAAGGAATAGGAAAAATGTCACAGTCTGTTAAGGGGGCATGTGTTAGGTAGAATAAAACATTGTCTTTTTCTCTTCAAGGCCGGCCACGTCTGCGGAGACAGCATCGACCTGGTGGACGGCCAGCCGACCGGATCTGTTCGCGTGTCGTTTGGCTACATGTCAACATTTGAAGACTGTCAAAAGTTTCTGAACTTTGTTGCCGACTGCTTTGTAGAGAAACCACTCGCGTTGGACCAAGTGAGACTGGAGGAGTTAAAAACAGCCACAGCAGCGTCCCGGGGCTCAAACGAACATTATCCAATCAAAATCGCTAATGGAGAAATATTTAAAGCAGATGAAAAGGAGAAGCCTACAGAAGCATCACTGAGGGGATTTAGACTCAGAGACTCAAACAGCCACGGGGAGGCTTATACTCTGACCAACATCTACATATATCCCATCAAATCATGTGCAGCATATGAGGTTTGAGGATAAACCAAACATTTATTCCTTTCACTTATTTCTGTCTCAGTCTCAATTTTTCTGTCTGTCTCTGTTTTGATTTAATTCGGCACTGTTCTTTATGCAGGTGCACGACTGGCCAGTGGGACCGCAGGGTTTACTGTATGACAGAGGCTGGATGGTGGTGAATGGAAACAGCGTGTGCCTGAATCAGAAGAGAGTGCCCCCTTTATGCCTCATTCGCCCACAAGTCCACCTGCCCTCAAACAAATTGCTCCTGCAGGCATCAGGTCAGACATTCTGTCAGCGGCTCACTGAAAATAAACACACCGCTTAACCAGAAGAAATTTCAATCAGCCGTATTTTCTGCTATAAATTCTGTTTGTTAGAGGGTTTATATTTTTTCACATTGCCCTGCAGGGATGGATACCATTTCGGTTCCCCTGGAAAACAGCACTGAAATGCACAGAAGCTATCCAGTGTGTCAGAGTAAAGTTTGTGGTGACAGGTGAGTTGGCAATGTTAAAACATCTGACAGCAGCAGCTGCAGGAAACACTGTGACACATATCATTTGTTGTGTATTTTTCACTCATATCAGTGCTTTCTCTCCCTACCTTTCTACAGGGAATGGCATTTTAGGGCCTCATGGTCTCAGTTTTATATGAAAGTCTGTTATTTGCTATTTTTAATGGAAAAACAAGCAATGAGCAAGAGACAATATTAATCTCCTCACATACCTGGATGACTAGTCACAAGTTAACAAAAAGCTATTCATCTAGTGTTTCTTGGATTAACTGTCGCACCAAATAGTAAGCAGCATCAAACTCTGTAGATTTCCCACGGGGGCCTCCACAACATAATCCTCCTCTTTTTTCCAGGGTGGAGACTGTCGACTGTGGGGATGAGGCAGCATCGTGGCTCTCAGACTTTCTTGGACAGCCCTGTCGCCTGATAAGACAAAGTCCTGATTTTACCCGAGGCATGAAGAAGAGGCCTAGTGGAGGTAGCTATATTAGCATTTCACCTATTTGTGAACCTTGGAGTTATCTGTCATACTGTACACGGGCAATGCAAGGTCACATTTCCTGCTAATACTACACTAACTAGTTGTTGCTGTGACCTTGTATTCCCTTCTGGTCCCTTGGAATTTGGAAATTTCCTTGTCTGCTTTTGCAGTTACACTGTTTAAAAACACCAGTTTATTGTGTAAAAGAAATCTGGTGAAATTCAGGTTGAGGGTGGGTGTTGTAATGACATATTGATTTCCAACCAAGGGTAGCTGTGTCCCAGGTAGGTGGAAAGTTTGTGAGTAACTCAATTACTTTCAAAAAAGTAGAAACTGTGATTTAAAATGTCCCCAAATAGGATCAGCTTTAACACCACCTCTTGTGATTAAGAGTGCTTTCAAATGATTAGCAAGCAAGCAGGGAAGTTGAAACAGTGTAACATAAATGGCTAAATGGTTGAAATAGATAAATACAAGTAAGGAATCAATTGCTACAATACTATAGGTACTAAGGTTGATATAACTGAAATCAATGAATAAATGGTTGAAATAGTTGTGATAGTAGACATATGAATGCAGACTTGAACAAACACTGACATTATTGTCACTTTTATTTTTGTTAATATCCATATGAACATATTTGGAACAAGATAAAGATAATTGTTTATTATAACATATGATAAGTGATAATTAAGTCTTGACAGAAAATCTTTGGCAGGGAGATTTTTTGCTTCAAAACAGTAACCCCACAACCCAATGGTTCATACTGAGATGAGCTTACCCTGATGACATAATCAAGGTAATTCTCTCAGCCTTTAGAAAGCTTCCTCCGGCGCCACAGAAGACATTATACAACTGTGTTCACAGGCTGAGTAGTACTCCTCGTGACAACTAAACAGACCCTTGTGGGTAAAATCAGAGTGCCTCTTTAATATCTATAACCACATTAGGCCTTCGCTGGCTCTGTTACATCTATGAGCAGCACTTCTGAATGGCATTATTAAATTTTTTTAGCATCAATATGATGAATTATTTTTGTGGTGTTTCATTTACTGTGTGAGCATATTCCCATCTGGCTATTTTATGTATAAACTGTTTATAAATTTAATCTCTAACATAAGTACTATATCACAGTATACTGGATATCGATATTTGACGAAACAATCTCATCACAAGATCCATTTAGTAGCCGTTCTTGAGATTTTGATTGTATCACACAATCTTTCTCAGCAGATGGCGTTTGCCCGGTTGTCATTGAATTGTAAATGTTTAAATTTACATTTTCAGAGCATTTCAAGGACTTCTTGTTGGCTTAAAAGTTGAGATTGATATTGCTGTATAAAATTACATACACAGTGACACCCACCCATATTTAATGTATTTTGAATCGTGAGTGCACATTTTGATGAGTATTGACAAATTTACAAAAGTCACACATTTTCTACCCTCTGTATCACGATAGAAGCTCAGTTTGGCTGTTTTAGGATGCAGACGGCTCGAACCAGAGATCAGAATTTTTTATTTTTTTTTCTCAAATCAATTAAATCATTGGGGTAATATAAAGTCTTTTCCTCCTAGCTGCCACCTCCTCGTCTCTCTCCCTGGTGAATGAAGCTCAGTATCTCATGATCAACCGTGCCAGTGTGGAGCTCATTCAGAAACTAATGAGCAGCAGGTTTGGACACATGATGTGTTATTCAAAATATGCGACGCTCTGGTGAAAAAACATCAGGATGCGTAGACGCCCACACATTTACATTACAGTGGATGATTTGTGTACAGAATAACATGCCATTTCCACATTCCCTTCCTCAGACAGGACGATTCTGAGGACGATCACCTTCTTGACACACAGAATGTCATTAGCCGCTTCCGAGCCAATTTAGTCATCGCTGGAGTAGAACCATTTGAGGAGGATAATTGGTCACACTTGATTATTGGCAACACTCGATTTGTGGTGAGCTGACACTTTGAGATGAATGATGAAATCTTCAAATGCACTAAAAAGCGAATTTTCTCTAAAAACAAAAATATGAATGTGCTCCCTGTGGGATTAACCTAAAAGGTCACAGGTCAGTGTGGAAGATGCCAGATGGTTGGAGTGGACCAGGACACTGGGACCAAAACAAAAGAGCCGTTAATGTCTCTGTCAGCCTGCCGCACCGGGAAGGTCAGCCGAAAACAACTGCTGCTTGTACATGTAGATGCTATGTGTGTAGCTATGTGAAGTGCATGGGGCATGACAACATAAATCACTTTGCCTGTTGTTTTATACATTTATAGATGACTTTTGGTGTGTACCTGACCCATCAGCTACCAGAGGGCTCCACTACAGCGAATGTCCTCTCTGCTGGGTCACCCATATATCCAGAGCCACACAGTTCTTGAAGAAGTCATCCGTGAGATCCTCTTTATTTATTTTGGTGATACTTTTCTTTGTCCTAAGGGCTCATTGCTCTGCTGTGTGTCCCAAAGATCACCTGTCAAACACTGTGAGGAGTTTCTATAGATGCTGCTCTTTTCTTTGTGTGTGTAGCCCTGGTGGCTTTTGTCCTCTCAGATGTCCTTCTCATACCAGAGCATTCAGATTATATTCAATTCAAGTCTGTTTTGATTGAAAATGAATGAGATTTTGTGATTTTTTTTCCCCCCAATGGTTTCATTCCCAAAATATGTGCAATAAAGTAGATGTGAAAATTATTATTTGAATGTATTACTGCTATTCGAGCCAAAACATGTCAGGCTTGATGCAATAATCGCTGCTCATGTTAACCTCCCAGACAGTTCTTCCTTTGTTTATTCCCATGGAGGATTATATTGCTATTTATTCCGAACACACCACCACTGTGCTGCCAGAAATATGAAACATATTGCTCTCTGTAATGGAAAAACCTACCAGACACTCAGTGATCAGTATGTGCTCCTCATGTGCTGCAGACTTGGACATCCAATTTCATTCAAGAAAATTAATGATTTAATGTGAATTTAATCAGGTTTAATCCAAGTGGCATGCTTGTACATAAAGTACGTATGTGCTAAACCGTTCTGTCAAGGTCTCGGAGTAAAATTGCCCCTGTGTATCACGCACATATGGTGTAGTTGGAGGCTTGAGGTGACTGCTGTGTGCACCAAGGTTTGGTACTGTTTGTAGCATGTTTGCAAATCTGTGCCAACATTAAATTAATATGTATAAATGTATCCACAGATTGGATATGGTAGATAATGGCATTGGGGACTCCAAACAAAATCAGATGTAGATAGATGACCACTTAAAGCTGTGACCCGCCAAAGTTTAGATTATTATTCAAGATATAAACTTTCAAGACAGCCTTGTCCTGCATCAGACAAATATGCAGTTAAAACTACAGAGAGATAATAGAACAATAGGTCAAGCGTCAGGGAGAATAAAACACTGAATTTGTCAAAAAAAAAGAAGCATATTACAAAATAACTAAATACATTATACACACAGAGAATTGTATAAGAAGTTACTAAAAATATCAAGAAAACCCTCATATCTGATGCTTACAGGAAATAATTGCTCAAAATTCATCAAAATTGTTGGACTTCCTGCAGTTATTGTGTTCACTATTTGGGTTCATTGCATACATATAATATGTAAAACCCATAAAATATGGATAGAGGGGCCAGGGGTCGTCAGTTTACTCAATGATAAAAAATAGGTCCCTTAAGGAAAAAGGTTGGGAACCACTGAATTAAAGGAAGTACCTTTGTATTCCCTTGTATGGTATTTTCACAGGCCAGGATATGATCATTTTAATACTCATTAAAAGCCTTCAGTGACTGCCACCAAGTTCTACTTCTACAATCATCTCCTACTGGTGCACAGACTGTTACTGTTATTTATTATCTTGTCCTGTGAACATGAACAAAAAAGACAAAAACAAAAAACAGCCAGGAAACCAACAGACAGATATTTGGTTACAATAATGTAAACCCTTTGTTTCTTAACCAATCATTTGTTCCCTCCACATTTTCCAACATCTAAGAATCAGCTGAGAACGTGTTATTGATCCAGCTGTTAATACTCTAAATGAAAATGTACTCAACTGTGGTGCTGTAGTATTATCCCCGAGGAGACATACCGTAACCTTGGTGACCTTAAACCCATTTTATTTAGTCGTGCTGGGTTTAGTAATATCTGTGAAGTATTTTGTATTGAATACATTTGCCTCTGGCTTCTCTGGTGTATTTTTTTTTTATCATTGGAAGGAATCCGCTCCCATATTGCTTCATCAAATGTACAGCCCAGGTCTTTTTCCCATATCATCCTCATTGTTGTTTACCCGAGGACATACCTCATACCACTTTGATGCTTTATGAAACATTGTTGGCAGCTGTAGGTAGAGCTCTACTTTGTTGGTATGATGGAAGTGAGGTTTCGGCCTTAATACAGTGTCTGAAATATGAAATATTTCGTATTTTCGTATAAACGTATTTTCCTAGACATAAAGTACCTTTGTGTAGTTAGCCTTCTCCTGTCTCTCAACTCAAATCTATAAAACTGTGGTTACTGAACAATCAAATGTGCTGTCACAATCTGGAGTAGTACTTCTGTAATTGTCTGTGCTTATGTGCTTTTCTCTGCTTTCCTGTAATTCCCTTTATGTGTCATTTGGTTTGGACATATAGGAGAAATCAGTATGGCCATTGTGTTCCTGTTGTTTGTTCTTATGTGCTTTTATCTGTGCTTATGTGATTTGGTCTGTATTTATGGGATTTTATCTGTGCTTATGTGATTTTGTCTGTATTTATGGGATTTTATCTGTGCTTATGTGCTTTTTCGTATATTTTATTTTAATGTGTCTGATATGCCATCAACCTGCCAGGGACTGCAGATGAAAAATAACCCTGTGTGGCTAAATCTGGTACGTTAATGTACTAATTAATGTACATTGTCCCTTTTTTTTAAAAAAATAAACAAATTAAAAAATTATATTTTATGCAACTTTTAATTGCATTGCAAGATATTTTTTGTGTCACATAACTTTCAGACCAGTACAAGATGGTATCACATTTGTTGGTACAATAACAGGAACTGGTTAGCAGTTAACAATGTTATGTTTGTTGTATTTAAGGTGGCGCCATGTTTAACATAGAATATTTGCTATAAGATATACTGTATGTAAAGCGGTGCCACCTTAAAAAACCCAGGTTCCTCCCCCGATTAAAACTGCACTTTGATCAAAACTTGTTGTTAACCGATAACAAACTGCTTGACGGGGGCCAGACGATTGAATATAGTTAGATATATATATATATATTAAAGTTTATTTCCGTGACTAATACTGACGTTATGGTGAGGAACCGGGTCGTTAAACAGGATGGTTCTTCCTCCACAACCAGCAAAGTTCAGAGGTCTGCCAGAGTCCAGAGGACAGAGCCGTGAGTTAGCTCCACTAATCATTCGTTTACAACTAACAGCTGTTGACTCAAGCGTGAGGAACAGCTCGTAATATGAATTATATCTGCAGAAAGATCCCTCTGTGCACATAATATCAACTCCCCGAACAACCAAGTTAGTCATTATTTGTAACTTATGTGTTACAGTGATTCTGAATGGTGTTTATAGTAACCCATAAGAACCCAGAGGGCCCATTTCTCCTTGAAGGAAGGTTAGTTGGGATATACCACAGACCAAGTGAAAACTCATAGGACATCATTTCTGATGTTTGTTTTTTTATGTCAAATATTTGTTTTGTGACATATAAGTCATTAATACCTTAATCATTTGACATTATTTTGTGTATATATCTCTTCAGATATTCTTTAAATTGAACAGCAGGGCATATATTAATTGTAAATATTTGAAACAGTGAAATTAATTGAGGGGCTTATTGCCTTTCTTGTTATTGTGACACAGACGTCACATCAGACCTATACGTCACAGCGACATTCCCGTAACTTGTTTTATATGATTCTGTTCAGGAAATATGGTCAGAACAGATTAAATGCAATACAGGACATACCATTAAGGTATTATAATTGTTAAATGGGTTTAAACTTATCTTAGTAACAAAAAACAAGCTTTTTGAATTTACCTACTTCCCTCATCATTTCAGTCATTTCAGTCACACCCATTTATATGTCTATGGTCACACCCACATTTTGGATGGGACACTTTCCAGTCACAGTCACATGACATGAATGTCATATGACCACCACACCAGGATGCTTTGTAGATGTCACTTGACATAAAGCTGTATCTGGAAGATTCAAGGTAATTTAAAGTGTGTGTGACACATGTGTCACCATGGGTTCCTAAGGGTTAAGCTAGCAGCTAATAAAAAGGAACATTTAACAACCCTGCAGGTCAGAAGACAACATGCAGCTCGAAGTGCTTCACATAGCACAATTTAACCAAAAAGGAACAATAAATAACATTCAGGAGGTCCAAAATAATGTAAAAACCAATGATTAAAACTTAAAACTAAGCATATAACAGCCAGATTAAAGAGAAAGGTCTTTATTTTCCTTTTAAAAATACAGAAAGAGCTCATCACAGTTGTATCCAGAGGTAGTGATAGTACAAATGATTAAATAATAGATATTTTTGCTGTTGGTACTGGACAATATATGGTAGAGCAAGATACAATAGTGAAAGTACATCCTAAATATTGCCTAGAGTAATGTGAAATTATGTGGTGCAAAAGCTGTGTCAAATACTTATTAATGAATATAAAACATGTTTGAAATGTGCATGTATTAAAAAGGTAAACAACCCTAGTGAAAAGGACACTAAAGGACACAGGGAGGTGTGTCGTGAATTTGATTTAACATCAAGGTCTGAGAATAAATAACACTAAACTTTAGTTAAAGTCATCAATTATCATCAAGTTTTGGTTGTAAACCTGAGTTATTCGGTAAATTACACCAACAAATGAGCACTTATCCAGCATCTAGCAGATACTCGCTCAGTAGAGTAGCTGTCCAATAAAACAAAAGTTGCCTTACATCACACTGCAGTTGTGCCGTCATTAAAAATCTGGTTTGAGCTTTTCGGACTTTCTTTGGAAGCTAATAGTAAAGTAAAAGTGTGAACTCTGGACGGATGAGGCGACAGTTTGATGGCTGCTGAAATGAATGACCTCCTATACGTTTCCCTCGAGCTGTGTGGAGAAATCAGTCTTGGACTAAGAGGGCTCTTCTGGCTGATTAGAGTGTTAATGGAGGGGGTGGGATGTATTGTCCATTAATTGGCAGAAGTCTGAATAGCATCCTCTCTTCTGCTGTTGCCTCGAGGGATTCAAGACGGACTCCAATGACAGCCTGCCTGCTCGATTAGATTATTCAGTTCTTCTCTCCCATATTAATGTTTCCATATTAATGCTACAACCACAGACTGGTCGGACATGTGTGCAAGCAGCTCTGTATTGTATGTGCCAATGGGCCTGAGTGTACATTGCCATGTTCTCTACATCTGTTGTCAAATCTGCCAGCATGGAGCTGTGGTTCTTTTTGCACAAGTCAAGGAAAGTTATCCACTGCATGGTCATTCTCAGGTGTTACTAAATACCCACTTTAACTGACTGAAACAGTAGATTTTAGCAGTAGAGCTCCTCTCATTGGCGACTCAGAGCGCCATTGAGAGCTCAGCGGAGATTCACAGTACGTACCTTCCTTGTGAAAGCCACAGAAACAACCCTAATCTGATAACTGTCAGAAATAATAGGCTGCTAAGCTATTAACCTTATGTTATTAACCTAGTGTATTATTATGTGCATTGCTTGTAATAGGCTAGTTTTGTACTTAACCTAATGTGACAGCTTGGACCAGCAACAGACACAAAACGTACTGTTGAACTGAAGACCGTCAGAATCAGCAGTGAACGCTGGGCCGTATAAACGGTGATGCATTTACTTACTAACGTAGACACTGAGGCGCATTTGAATGGTGATGTGACGGCTCCGCTTAGGAAAGTGATTTGAATCTGCAAAGTGATTTGTGATTTCCATCCTGAGCACCTCACATTTACCTCTGCAGCCAAAATGGATCAGAGTTGCAGCAGAAGTCAGATATTTAAGTGGGTGATAAGAAGAGGTGGTAGTGAAACTTTTCCAATGTTGCCGTAGTGTGGATTTGGTGTTGTAACACTTGTTTAAATTGGACGTGTTGATCAGAGAGTGTGAGCTGGCTCTGAAGAAGGGTGCTTAATGGTTTATTTCAGTCTGTTCTTGTTTGGCTTAGTTATAAAAATCACAAAACAACAAATATTTGAGTCACTTGGAGACTTCTCAAGGGCCCCTAAAAAGGCTCATCTGCCTTTACTGACCTAAGATATGTAAGATAATAGTAAGATGGTCTTTAACCACATTTGTTTTATCTCTCTGTCTGTTCTCAGGTCCCGGTGGTGGCTGAAAGGAGGCTTATTGGCTCTCTTTGTTATTTTCATTTTGGTGCCTTTCTCGCTGAGAATACTCCCAGAATTAATCCAGCACCTTGTTTATGCTCACAGAAGTAAGTGAATTCCCCTTTTCTCACTGCTGGAGGTACTGCAAATCCTCAAGTTGCTCTCAAAAAAAGGGGCCCACCTCTCTTCTTTTCCTGTTTGTAGTCAGGGTGCCGTTGTTTGTTGACCTCAGCCGACCTGCTGATCTCTCCCTTAATCACACCATCAACATGTACTTAACATCAGAGGAAGGAATCTCCTTGGGTGTATGGTGAGTACAATGCAAGGTCAGCTATATTTTTCTGTTTCTTGCATTGATATAAAAATGCTAAAGACTTTTTTAATGATCCGAATATCATTTGAGTCTCTAAGCGAGTGTATTGTTTTGGACTGCTCAAGGCACACTGTCCCTGAAAGTCAGTGGAAAGAGGCACAGGGGAAGGACTTGGCATGGTACCAGGACAGTTTAAGCGATGGCAGTCCAGTTTTCATCTATCTTCATGGGAACACAGGCACAAGGTATGATAAATAATGCATTTGTATTATAGTTGGCTACTGAAGAAGAAGATAGTTAAAGTGCCACCCCGCTAGACATATTTGTTTGGTTTTTTTTTTGAAAAACACCAGTTTATTGGCACATGTTGTTTGTGAATCATTCCAACAGGGCAGCCGCTCATCGGGTCGGAGTGGCAAAAGTGAGTGATCACCAACACAAACATATTAATCTTTTGGAGATCTAATAAAGGCATGAAAGTCTCAGTAGCCATTCTGATGACAAATAAGCATCATGTGTCAACAGGTATTGAGTGCACTTGGTTACCACGCACTGGTGCCTGACTACAGAGGTTGGTGCAAATTAAGATTTATGACTCTTCTTCTAAACATATTTTCCATCTCTGTGCTTCTTCGCCTTCTTATTGATTATAATACACAACCCTCTCACATTGATTTAATATCATTTGCAGCCATATGATTACCCTAGAGTTTTCAGTTGTGCTTGATGAGTTGTTTGTTGTAAGGCAGTCCAAAGAGAAACGGTTCAAGTTTAGGTCAGCGTGTAGTGCAGTTTCCCTCTGAGTGGCTGCCACCTGGTGGCAGTGAAGAGTGGCTTTGTGGTGCGTCAGCGAGCAGTAGCTGATCTGAGAAACTCTGGCAGGGTTTGGAGATTCCACCGGGGAGCCGACTGAAGCCGGTCTGACTACTGATGCCCTCTACTTGTACAACTGGGTCAAAGCACGCAGTGGAAACAGCCTGGTCGTCATCTGGGGACACTCTCTTGGCACTGGGTCCGTAAGGAAAGACCCCCCCCCCCATACCCAGCATTTTACTAAAGTACACAGTTGTAATAATTGTTTTGGATGTGCATTAATAGCCTGCAGCATTTACTTTTACTATTTGTATCTAATTGATATAATACTTAGCACAAGCAGTGATGGCTGTAATGGCTGAACAGATGAAAAGAAGAGCTTCACACACAAAAACACAAAATTAGGAAATCAGTGGAGGGTAAAACAACTTTGAATTCAGCAAAGCATCACAGCAACAAAAGACTGTTAAGAGCCAAAGACCTCTCTAAAATAGTGATTAGTTACATAATATACAACTGATACAAACTGCAGACAGATCTCAATACAGTCATGTTTAGCTTTAAGACACAAATTCAAGGCAATGTAGGAAAACATACATGCCACAAGAAGAAAAAGTAGAAACTGGTACTGTAACTTATAGAGGTATTTAAATAGTTTTAATTAGCTACTTTCTGCCTACATAATACATTATTTGACAGTAATCAGTAAAATACATCTTACATTTGAGACAGAAAGGATTGAAATAATCCCACAGCTACAATAAACCTGCCACCGTCAGGAGTAAATTCAGACTGTACACTGAATGGAGAAACTGAAGCTGTTCCTATCTCTGTGCAGAGTGGCCACTAACACAGCAGTAAAACTGACTGAGCAAGGTAGGTTTTTGCTACCAGTGAAATTTTTGCAGAGGAAATAAATCCAACATCTCAATGATTATTTCCTCTTCCTTTCAGGTGTGCTCTTTGATGGTGTGATCCTGGAGGGCGCGTTCAACAGTGCACGACAAAAGATGCCCGGTAATCCTTTCGCTTGGGTAAACGTGCCACTTTTGATATTCGGTTTATTCGTTTCACACGGCTGCTGCTACACTTACACACAACCTTGCAATGTTTGATTTTCTTTTTGTTTAAAGTATTACTGGACATTTCCGGGCTTTGGGTACTTTTTCCAAGAGCCATGGGCAGAAAACAAAGCCGTCTTTCCTACTGAAGAAAAGTATGTCTTCTTGAAACACAACAGTCAATATTAAATGCTTTTAATAGTATTATGACCTGATATGTGTTTTTGTGATCCTGCAGTCTGAAGAAAATGAGAAGCCCAATCCTTTTCCTTCATTCTGAGGATGATCACTTAGTTCCCATTCACATTGCTCAGCAGGTATTACTGGCACAGTAAGCTACAGTCCCAACTGAGGTGGCATAACTGATTAAGTGTCTTCGCTAGGATAACTTTCTGTTTCAGGTAGACTGAACTTTCTCTGCCTTTCTCTCCCAAGATGTACGAGGTAGCAGTGAGTGCCCAGAATGCAGAGCGAGTAAAGCTGGTGTCGTTTGAGGGTTCTCTGGGGTACCTGCACAACGGCCTGTATAGAGACCCCCGTCTGCCTGACATCCTAAAGTGAGACAACCTTTCACTGATAATGCTTAAAGTGATTGTATTCTGCAAAGCTGTGTCTGTTAAATGATCTGTTCTATTTCTACAACATAAATATCTCATCATGTCTCCTCTGCAGGAAGTTTGTGTTGTCGTTGTAACGTTGGAAAGACGACTGAAGCAGAAAAACCCGACCAGGTCTGAGAGGTTGAGATTTCACTCGATCACATTCAAATATTTTGCCTTTATGTGTGCATGGGTTGCATAAATATGTGACTTATTTAAAATATGTGATTTTTATGAATCAAAAATGTGTGTTACTTTAAGAATGAATGTTAAAATTGTTCAGGTTAAACGGATATTGAAGTTAGAACTTGGAATTCCCAATGGAAATGCAATTTGGATGAGCCATTGTTGCAGTAGGTGCCCTCTACTGGGCATTGTTGTGTGGTGATAATGCTCGTTTATAATACTGGATAATGAGTTTGGTAATCCAAGGCTTAAAATGTCTAGGTGTCAGTGACATTTCAGAATAATACAAGGAGAACAGCTGGGAAATGTCTGTTCTCTGACCTTGTTATCGCAAGTGTGATTTTAGAAAAAAAAAACAGAGATTCTGATTTCTTTGAGTTTAACCACAGATTATATAGTACATCAGTTCTCAGTTCAAATGTCATTGCAGTTAAAATACAATAAATGTTATTCCTGTCAACCTGCAGTGTATTGGTGTTTCAATTTTTAATACAAGAAAACACACATTAATGTATTGGTCTCTATAAGGAAGAGATTGCAGAATTCACCGCTTTAACCTCACATGAATTCACAATGAGTTGGTTTGGATTAATTCAGGTACATGTAGCACCACTTAACGTTGCTTTGACCAATCTGTTCAACCATAAGGGTTCTTTAAAACGTACGGGAAAGATTTATGAGGAAACCTGTAGTGACTAAACACACTCGCTTGTATTGCAAATGTCCTTGTGATTTTGTGAAATATCCACAAAGCTGTGTTTTATTTCAAATGGAAAAATGTTCTTTTCACTTGAGGTAATTTCACTCAATGTCAGGAACATTTATATGCATTCTTCATCTTAGCTAGCGACCGTAAGTTGAATATACTGTATTTTTTTACTACAAAGTCTTAATTAACATTCCTTATTGAACCAGGTCCCCTCTGCAAATTGTAATACATAGTTTAGTGCAGCCTATTATTTCACTACGAATTAAAGTCAATACATAGCAGAGAATGCACCTTTCATCAAGACCTTCCAACTTATTTTGTACTGATACACATGTACATTTATACAAAGTAATTCAAATCCTTTTAGAATTTCAAACTCAGTTATATTTTGTGGATGTTAAATAGCATTTTTAAAGCTCAAAAGCACATGTAAATACCCAATCTGGACACTATTGTCCCACGTTTGCCACTAGTTCTTAGATTCATATTTTTCACATCCTTCCAGACCAGGAAACACCACGAAATTTGGTGATTTTAAATTTTACACCCAGACATATGATTTTATAGAATATGATGCATTGCTGTATATTCTATAATATATAAAGTAGTGAACATTAACTCAACCTTAAACAAATACAGCAGTAAAAACGCAGCATATATAACAGTAAAACATTGACAGATACTTTTATCTTTAATTCTTTTAAGTAAATTTTGCTTTTAATACTTAGATACTTTAACTTTTTTGAATGCATTACATCAAGTATTTTCACAGCGTGGTCTTATGGCTTTTATTAAAGTTAATGATCTCAACAATACTGTTGTATATGGAGCATAGTCTTTTAATATAAATGGCCTTTGTGGTTCTGATAAAAGAAGTATAACCAACTTTATTAATAACTTACAAACTGAAGATAGATGTAATTTATGTTCAGTGGGACCCCCACAAAGGGTCGCCAAAGTTTCATGGGGGGTGTTGCGAGGCCTTCTTGATTTTATGGCGTGTAAGAGAACTAAATTAAAATATGCACAGTAGGGTTATATCTCAGAATTTGGTTCACTTCTGTGAAGAAATTAAAGTAAAGTAAACTGTCTAATAGAACAATTACAAAGAATCAAGGACAAGAAAACAAAGAATATCACAGTAAAAATATTGCTAATATTATTAATATTAGAAGATATAAAAACTATAAATTAAAGTATATACACTATTTGTTGTTCAAGTAGGACATGGAGTCCCAAAATGATGGGGGCAAATTACAAGTCCTTGACCTAAAACTAAACTAAAACTACTAAACTACTAAAGTGGAAATTAAATATAAATAGTGCAAAAGGTTTGTGCGTTGTAGGTAGGAGTTTTAAACCAGTCTTTATCTGCTGGGGTTTGAGGAACTGGGAGCTGTGGCGTTGTGGAGTCTGATGGCTGATTATCAAGCAGTATTCGTTTCTTTTAACATTTTTATCTTAGGAAAAGTTTACTTTCACTCAGGGCGCTTTCTTTTCCAAAGATAAAAAATGTTACTCTTGCATTAAATATGTCTTTGAATGTTTTGTGGATCTCTGACCAGAAATGCTTAATTACTGGACATTCCCTAAAATACAGGCCAGTGTTTGGCGTCCTGACTCCCACACAGTCTCCAGCACTCTGAATCCTCTCCTCTGCTTTCTGCTCCCTCACAGTCAGAGTTATATCCTGCGTGGGACTCGTCCACTCTAAGCCTGATTAACTGCAGTATGCCTGCGTTAAGCTGTTGACATAAGATGCACGTCAGGCGGCAGCGTGTTGCATAAACGGGGATCTGCTTTTTCTTTTCTGTCCAGATTCCTCAACTCAGGGAATATTAAAAATCTGTATACCTTTTTTTATTTTTAGATAAAACAATAAAACAAAGTCACGGTCCCAGTCAGGTCACAATATCAGATTTCACTACACGATCTTTAACTTCTATCATGTGTTTTGTCTCTTTTTTTTTGGCAAATGTGTTGGCAAATATCAGTCTATCATTGGGTTTAGTTTCATTGTCCATTTTATGACGATGTTACAGCCAAACTGACTCCAGTCCCGAAGGTCCCGGTCACTACCTCAGCAGCCTCTACTGGTAGTGGTGGGAAGAGGAAGCGGAAGATCCAGCTGGTGTCCAGCCACAGGGACGATCACATCTCCCTGGTAAGGAGCGCTCCACCTTGTCATCTCCTAGAAACCCTCGCTTATACAGCCGTGTGTTACAGCGACTGACATTGCTCTGTTTTAACCTGATTTGCAGCCCCCGCCTCCGGAGCTGGGCTACACGATCACTGTGAAAGACCTAGACGAAGAGAAAAAGGCTGCCATCAGCAAGATCCAGAAGGTCCTGGAGACACCTGGTGAGTACAAGAAGCCACAGGAATAGACCGTTTAACTCCTAACACGGTTTAATGTTACCCTCCATTCACACACACCTCTGACCCGTCTGCTCGTTTGTCGTTGTTTAGCTCCAGAGCCAGAGAAGTCGGTCTCTCCCCCAGCCACCACTTCCACTCAGCCTGCCTCCTCCAGCAGCTCCACCACCACCCTGAGCAGCCTTCTGGCAGCTCCTCTGCACACGGTCTCCAGCTCCGCCATCCCAGTCATCAACCTGGATCCCAGCCCGGGCAGCAGCGTCAGCACAGCACCTGCAGCCTCCAACTCGCTGCTGGAGGCTCTGAAAATGAAGATCAATGTTCCTGCCAGCTCCACATCTGCTGCCAACACAGTTACAGGTAAGATCCCCGAGCGTCTGAAGTCACCCCTGCAATATAACCCGGTTATCCATCCATTTATCATATCGACATTCTTGTGTCTGCAGTGTCTGCGTCGACCACACTGGTACAACCCAGCGGCTTAGGCCTGAAGGTTTCGACTACGATGTCCCCGCAGCTCCCCCCTGCCTCCCAGTCCCAGTCCTCCTCCGCTGGTCTGGAGCAGCCCTCTGCCTTCACTCAGGTTCTGGGTCAGGTCTCCAAGGCTTCCAGCACTCCACTTGTAACAGGACCAACCCTGTTCGGACTGGCGAGCCAGATCAGCACCCCCGCTGCTTCCTCGGCCTCCAACCCGGTCACTGCTACCGCCGCCGCCCCGGCCAGCAGCTTGGCGTCCATCATTAACACCAACCCTCTGCTGGCTTCAGGGTTCAAGCCCATCTTTTCCGTTACCACCACCTCCTCGGCTGCATCGACCCCAGAGAGCAAACCTCCTGTCCAGAGTTTCAAGCCCATCTTTGGAGGCACCACTGTAGGTTCTGGCTTTGGACCGCCTCCAGCTTACACAAGCACCAACCCCGCATCTACAGTGTCCTCAAGCGGTGCACCCTCCATGTTTGGTGGATTAACAAGCAGCGCCACAGTTGCTCCATCTGTGTTCCCGAGCATGACCAACACAGCCTCCACCGGCTCCATCACCACCACACAGCCTGCAGCCCAGCCAGCTGTGAAATCCCAGTTTGGAAACTGGTCAGCACCATCCACAACCAGTACCAGCTCAGCCCCTGCAGCGCAGGCCCCCAATACAGGCAGCACGTTTCAGTTTGGAGCTGCTACCACCACGACTGCAGCAGCTGCAGCCGCCTCCGCTGCTGCTGCTGCCACAACCTCCAGTAACAGCACCTTCTCGTTTGGTTCCACGCAGCCGGACCCCCAAGCTGCCAACCAGAAGGTATTCGCCTTCGGGCAAACGGCACCCAGCCAGAACACAACCACTGCTTCGTTTGGAGGCTTCCCCATGGCGAGCACAGCCTCCACCACTGCTGCCGCCACCACCCAGTCCACCTTCGCCTTCGGAAAGTCGTCATTTCAAGCACCGGCAACGCAGTCGACCTTCGGC